AGCTGCAGGGGCTGCCATTCGCCCCCTGCCTTGGCCTGGCGCTGGAATGGGGCAGGGTGTGTCCAGGCTCACTGGTGCCTGGCGAAGCCCTCTGTTCTTCAGCACCCTGAGCCTGATTTTTCACCCCCCACAGCCCCAGGCAGCTGTTGCCCTGCACACACGGTGCAGGGTGGCTGGAACCCAGGGCAGCCCTTCCGTAGTGTCCCCCCGTGTCCCCAAGGACAGGCACCGAGGCCAGGGTGCTGCTGTAGCCACGTAAGCCCATGACCGCAGCCACTTGTACACGACAGGTGCCGAGGCAAACCTGCATCCTTGCCCCCTCCCATGCGGGGGGCTGGTGGCAAATGGCCCCAGAGCAGCTGTGGCTCCTACCCGAGGCAGAGCAAGAGCCACCCTGTGGCGGTGAGGGCTGGGGGTCACCTCCTGCCCGGCAGCACCATTCCTGGGGAACAGCAAAGACCAGGCGGGGGGGGCTGACTGTGCTGGGATGAGGAGCTGGATGGAGGGGAAGAGAGAGCTGTGGGGCAAGCGGGGCCATGGAACGCAGCTCTTCCACCACCCCTGCTAAGGCAAGCTGAGCCAGGGACCACCCTTCTGATCCCTAACCACTGCCGAGCTGCCAGGGAGGTGACAGTGACAGGGAGCGTTCCCAGGGCAGGGAGCCTGGGCAGCAGACCTGCGCTTGGAGTGGCTGCCTGCCGGGTGGCAGCCCCCAAGCAAGGGGCTGGAAGGCTCCTGGGGACAGACTGCTGCCAGGGACCCTCATCAACCCAAACCAAACTGTCCTGCCCCAGACCAGAGACCCCAAAGTGCGTTTCTAACACCCAAGTGGAGGTGTACGGAGTGCCTGGGCTGTGCCAGGGCGGCAGGCCCCAGCCAGGGGGGAACTCCCAGACAAAAAAGCACGGAGGAACACAACAAGGTGCCTTGTGAGGCCCGGGTGAGCCTCGCGGCATGGATGCCGTGGCCCTGCCACGCAGTTCACAGCTAAGCCCTGTCCCTGTGGTGGTTCCCTCAGGCCTGGTCCTGTGCCCACACAGGAGCAGGGGAGCAGAGTTGCTGCCTCAGCTGCAGCACAGGAAAAGCCCCAGGGCCCAGCAAGCACAGCCTCATTTAGCTCAGCCTGGGCCACCTTCCCTCCCCTGGCACCTGCCACCAGGTCTGGTTGCAGCACACGAGCTGAGGGGTGCTGAGCGCAGCCCTTGGGAGCGCTGCTGCAGGAGGGTACAGCGTTACTAGGTGACCTGTGAGTGTCAGGCCACTGCCTCGGGTTTGCTCTCGAGGCAGTAAGAACAGCAGTGAACAGGGGCAGTGGGCAGCTGGGTGGGAACCATCCCCCACTGGGTTTTTTTAAAGCTTTTTATCCCTCTCCTGGCGAGGCGTGCCATGAATCAGCTCCAGATCTGCAGCACTGCATTAATCCACAGCCTTGCTTCTTCTTGCCCATTAACGTACCCCCCAGAAACCGATACTCTGTGGGATGACGGGTGACTGCTCAAAACCCTTGAGCCGGATCAGTCCTCCCCCAAGAGCTGCCAGCGCACAAACGATGCAGCTCAGCGTCCGCTTCCCCCAGCTCTGCCATCCCAGGAGCTGCCAGAGAGGCCCCCAGTCTCAGAAGGGGACCTGCATGCCCAGCCCTGCGTAAGCAGAGAGATGAAAACCTGACTGAGCTGCCCTGTGCAGGACAGGGGGGCTGGTGGTATCACTCAGGCGCTCCAACTGCCCCCCAGACGGTTTTCTCTGCTCTCACGGCTCACGCCCCAGGTTGCTGCAGAAAATCCCCTGGATGCTGGTAACAGCAGGGCCAGACACACGCAGCCCAGGCCCCGGCAAGGGGCTGAGACACCAACTTCTGCAGCAAAGCTGCTGGAAGGTGCTTGAAGCCAAGTCCATCATCGCTGCTGCAGTCAGCGCATGCGGGAGACTGAAACAGACAGTGATGGGGGAAGCACACCCTCTGCGGGACAGATTTATTGAAACAGTCAGGCCCTAGCGAAGAAAATCAACTGTCGGCTTTAATTATTGCGTATGTCTTCATTTCTAGGACTAGGAAAATCTCAACTGATAAATATACATTTAATCAGAATGCCTTTGGCTGAAATACACCATTAGCACATTCTTCAAAGTTACAACAAAAGTCTTAGAAATGTTAAAAAGGGATTTGTCCTTTACTAAAATAAAGGAGTGCGCCCCCCACCCCAACAAGGCGCTAGGACTGACAGACGGGAACTCTGGGCTGTGCAAAGCAGAGCGTTGATTACAGTAACAGAAAGAAGTCAGGACAGGAGTAGGGAGCCTGCATAGCACTCGGTGCAAGGTACAGGAGGTGGCTGCAGCGAGTCAAGTCAGCATGTCCCACAGGCAGCAGCAGCAGAGTGCAGTCCAGCACGCCGTCAGGCAGGCACTCTCGCCCGAGTCGTCCCTCCGCCGCTCCTCCACGACATACACTGCAGGGACAGAGAGCTCTGTCAAAACGTAGCACAGCAAGGCCCGCAGCAGCCAGCCATGCCTGCCAGCCCCGGCACAGCCACAGTGCCCCGTGCACCCCAGCGCCCGGTCTGCGTGGCCCGCACCTGCTGCAGACAAGCTGGTGGCAGGGGCAAGCACCAACAGGATGGGAGGCGTTGAGCTCCCGTGCTGGGTGCCACAGCCCCTTGGGCCACAGCTTCATCACTGTAGCAGCACCCCAGGAGGACCCGCTGCCCCCTCCCATCACTGCAGCACCCTCAGATGGGGTGGGCCCCTGGAAAGCACTGCCAACGTGATGGTCTTGACACACGCAGCTGGTGCAGGTCAGCCAGGAGCAGACTTTGTTCCTGTGCTCAGCCTGGCTGCCCCGCTGGGGGCTGATACCTGATCAGCGCTGGCACCTGATCCCCGCTGCCTCCCTCTGCCCTCCCGCAGCCCCCAGCAGCGGAGTGCAGTGCCCCAGTGGAACCCAACGCCCCTCCAGGCCGGGCACAGCTGCCCTTCCTTGGGGGAGGGGGGTACCCAGCCCAGGCACTGGTGCTGGAGGGGCCCCTGTGCAAGGAGGATGGTGGGTGAGGTGTGGCTGAGGGCCAAGCTCCCACCCAGCTGCTTGCTCGCTGCCCCTCCTCAGCAGGACGAGATGGGAAAGGAGAAAACTCACAGGTTGCATAAAGACAGGGCCATGCTTACCGCCACGGGCAAAACAGGCTCAGCTTGGGGAGAATTAATTTATCACCAACCAAAATAGGTTTGGGCAGTGTGAAACAAACACTAAACCACCACCTCCCCTCCAACCCCCTCCTTCAAGCAGCAAAGGGGATGGGAAATAGGGGCTGCACAGGGTCCCTGCCAGGAGAACCTGTTCCAGTGTGGGTCCTCTCCCAGGGCTGAGGATCCTTCTGGAAACATCTGCTTGCTCCACAGCCCTCCTCCAACCCTGTTTCTCACCCTTCTGCTCCCTCCTCGCTCTCTGGCACTCTCTGCCCTTCCCTAAACACGTTCTCACAGGTGCAGCAGCAGCGCTGCCGATGCGCTCAGCAGCGTCCCGGGGCGAGGCTGCTGCTGAGCCGCGTTGCCTGCAGGAGGACGAGGAGGGAAGCTGCCAGGGCAGGCCGTGGTCTCCAGGTGAGATTCAGCTACTGGATATGAAAGGCCGTGGGGAGTGGGCACAGACAAGTCCCAGGAAGAGTCGAGGTCAGTGGCAGGGCAGCATCCCTCCGGCCCCTCAAGGCTAGATGCACGTTTCGGGCTCTGGGCAGAAGGTGCTTGTGCACCAGCCAGTGCTTCTCAGGGATGGGAAGAGCTGGCTCTTCCCAGGCAGCAGGTCCCACAGAGACGGCAGAGACCAGCTCTGGCTGACAGGCCTACGCAGCTGTAAAGCCAGATGGTCACTGGGAGGACAGCAAGCAGGAGGCAGCTGCGGCAGGGCTGGAGCCTCCACGGCTGAGGCCAAGGAACACTGACAGCCCTGGCAGCCAGAGGGCTCCAGGACTGGCAACAGGCTGCCTTGGAAAACAAGTGGGTGGGATCTTTGCCCTTGAGTCACTGCCGGGAACAGTCAAAACCCACCCTTTCAGCACAGCCAAGGTGACAAGAACCTGTCTGCTGCCAGGCCTGGCCAGGACACAGACTGGAGAGGCTGGATAGACACCCCGGGCAGAGTTTTCCAGGAGATGACAACTTCCCCAGCTGAAAGTGCCCTTGCAGGGTATCTGCTTGTCGGTTTAGCCTGGCGCTGCTAGACAGCTTGCTTCACTAAGTGGCGGTTCCCTGGCACTGCTCCAGCCCTGCCACACAGGTAACGGCGTCCTCCCCCCGAAGTCTGGGCAGGGATGAGTCCATGTCCCAGCTCTGTCTCCATCCTGCATGCCAGGGGACTTCCAGCTCTGCCAGCTTGGACACCTCACCTGCCAAGGGGCAGATGCCCATCTGACACCTCCAAGTGCTCAGGGTATCCCCTCTTGGACAGAAACCATTTAAACCCTGCCCCTCAGGCTGCTGGGATTCACTGCACATTGCCAGCTGCCTGAAAGCACAGGAGGGAGCCCAGGTCTGGACACGGTTCTCCCAGCAGCATCTCCTACCCAAGGCCAGCATGCTGCCTGCTCTTTCTGCCAGCCCCTGAAGCCCACTGGGGACTGATGAGCAGTTTACCTTTGGGTCCTCCTCACGGAGCTTGAGGTCTCACGCCCAGAACTGTAGCAGTTTGAAGGCAGGCACCTGACTGAACTTCCTTAAAGCTTTCTTAGGTCTGTTGGTTATAGGCTTGTGTGGAAACACAGGAGCCTGACCCAGGCAGGCAGTTAGTGCTTTCAGTTGAGTGGCTGAACACGTGGTATTGATGGGCAGAGGTCTGGGCAGAAGACACTGCATATCACCAGCCAGGCCCTCCCACAGGCTTGGCTTTGTGCTCCAACATTCCCCCCCCATTCACTGCTTCAGTTCTCTCTAGAGCGATGGGTGGAGGATGATGTGCTCTGGCTTACGTGATACCAAACCCTGCCACCATCGGGGGGGCGTGCCCAGTAACACACACCCCCCACCCCCCAAGTAACTGTCCTCAGGCACAGTCTGTACCCCAGCCTCAGGCAGCCTCCCTCTTGCCAACAGGAGTAACAGAAGAGGCATCTGCTCTGCAGGCACAGCCCAGCTCCAGAGAAGATCCTGCATGGTACCGGCAAAGCACCACTGTCCACCCTTCCCTCCAGGGCTTTGCAGCTGCCTGGGCGCAGTCAGCCATGGCTGCGGTGCCCCTGCTCCAGGGACAGCAGGGTGGAAGCACATCCCTTTCCCAGGCAGCCCCAGAAGGAGGTGTCAGCATGCTGCAGTGCTGTGACAGGCTGTGCTGAAGCGGGAGAGGTGCCAGGTGCCCTCTTCCCCAGGAGCGGCTGGCCAAAGCAGGCACCTTGGGTGGCAGCAGGCAGGGACCTGATGGAAACCTGGCTCCCACACACAGACTGGGGCCATGCAGACTGTTGGGCAGTGGGAGGCTGCAGGGCCTCCTCCCCACAGCCCAAAGCCAGGGCAGGGCTGTGCCCAGGGCCAGCAGCCCTGCCCTACTGTCAAGGAGCACAGCACAAGGTCAATGACTTACAAGCCCAGCACCCCAGGCTCCGCCTGCGATCCAAGACAGCCTATGTCATCCCTTTGAAAGGGTGGACCCCAGGCCCATCCCATCCAAAGGGGAAGTCTGTCCCAAGGCAGACAGGACTTTGGTTAGGCCCTTCCCTCCTACCTGCCCACAGCCCCACCTGCACTCAAAATCATGCATGGAAAACTTGCAAAGGCTTCACGCTCAATAGCACTGTACTAGTGTCTCTATTCACTGCCTGCTCTCCCTGGTGAGATGACCCAGGTCCGCTCCCTCCCATGTACCTCCGTGCAGTGCACTGTGCAGTGCAAGCTGTCATCAAGCAGCCAGCTGCGTCCCGAGCAGTGGGCTACAGTGGTCACCAACTGCTCAGCAGCCAAAAGAGAGCTGTGCCCTGCTGTCCACAGAGAGGCTGGCTTAGCAGGAAAGCTTCTTTGTTTTCCCTTCCTGACCAGCACTGCTGTGAGCAGCTGGACACCTTACATCTGACCATTTACTCGGCTGAACCGCATTCTCCCCTGCAGCAGACAGAGCTGCACTTCTGCCTGGCTTTACACACCGAGCTGCGAGGAGAAGCGAGCCCTGGCACCATGGGACGCCTTTGTGCAAAGCCAGACATGAACCCAAGGTGTTCAGGAGGGATAGCAAGTGGGGCAGAGCCGTGCAGAACCACCTCAGCTTGCCAGGCCTGAAGGAGGCACTGGTGTGTTTCAGGCTGGGCAAAAGGAATTTTTTCCCTGGTGGATCCAGGAGCTCTGAACAAGCAGCTAACTCCTTGAGGACTTTGTTTCCTCTGAATGGTCTTGTTACAATGAATGAAAGCCAAACACATACCAAATGCCCCAAGAGTCCTGTACAAGACAATGGCGTGCGGCTGTCTGGCAGGGCAGAGACGGCCGAGAGCTCCTCATCAGAGCAGGGCACCAACTATGCTCTCCTGCCTGTGTTGAGGAGCGAGAGGACGCTCACTGGCTGCTGCCATCCCTCAGTGCGAACAGCTGAGGGTGCTCGGGAAGCTTTCAAACCAGCTCTCTGTACTGGAGCCCAGAGGCAGCTCTGGTTTCTAACCAGCTGTTTGAGCAGTCCTGCTTGCCAGAGCACTGCCATGCCCAAAGTGGAGGGCCACAGTGCCCTGAGACATCCAGATCGACACAGCAGAAGGGGTCTGGGAGGCTGTTTAGGGAAGCACTGGTTCCTGGTGGTTTGGAGGCAGCAGGGCAGCTCTGGCATCTGGAAAACACCAGCACGAACAGATAGCACAGAACTTGCACCAGAGCAAAGTCCTTGCAGCTTCAGAGTGAATAAAACCACGGGGAACCTGACACCCTCCCCTGCCCCAGAAAAAGCTCTGCAGCATGTGACACTCCCAATGTGGTGGGCAGCATAAAGTTACACTGTTTTGGGGGTGCCTCACATACCCTCAGCTCCCTTGCGGAGCAGCCAAGGCGGGCTAAGCCCTCAGAGGCTGACAAGACCCAGCCCCAGGGCAGGGAGAGGGGCACGCACTCCTCTGCACACAGGCAGACCTGGCCAGCCGTAACAGGCATCTGACTGGAGCAGGCCACGTTGCTGCCGTGCAAGCCACGAGCTGGCAGGCAGTTACCAGTTCTGGCAACCCCAGCCAAGCCCATCTTCACCCTGGTTGAAGGCAGCCTTATCTGTAGCCACGGCCAAGGCACCGTCCAGGGAAGAGCTCTAACACCTTTTACTGCTAGATTAAAGCAACATTGCTTTCTGGTAGCTCAGTGCTAAGCTACCAAAGAGCAATGCTTGAGCACGCAGAAGACATGAGCGGTCAAATGATACATAAACACTGATGTGTTGTCTGTTTTAGCCCACAAACCGACAAAGGGTTTTGCTGGTTAGTTGTCAACTGCAAAGAAGTCC